GGATTTTCGTTTCGTATTTTCGTTGGTATGAGTAGTCAGTCATTTGGAATAATCGGTCGTTCAGAATCCTACTTGTCCTTGTTTTCATCACTTTTTTGACACATTAGCACAAAGAGAATCCTACTCTATCTTTTTTTTTTGAAACTTTTTGTATTTTTTCTGATAAAATTAATCCATTTATTTTGGCAATTCTTGGGATCTTACCTACCCTTAAGGATTGATCACAAGTACGGTACACCCACTGACAACCATCTTTAATAATATACTTCACTGATAAACGCTCTGTAGCATTTCAGGGTCAGCTTTGCTATATTTGTCCTTATGAAATTGATACACACTATAATAGTACATTATACAATAGCATACAGTAAATGCATAATCTGGACAAACTAACTTGTGACTGCACTGGAGTTTTGTCTCTTCTAACAATGCAAAAATTTTTTTGGTTTATCTGCTTTTTGTGGGCAGCAGCTCCTAAAGTATAATACTGTACTCTTCGTTCACACATTCTTTCCCTATTGTTTTTATTTTTTTCAGTTTTATTCCTAACTCATTGGCTCCAAAATCAGATATTCTTTTTCATTTTCTTGATTTCTTAAAGATTTTTTATCAGTTGAATTGTTGGCTCTAGTATTACACATTCTTCTCTTGTTTTTTAGTCATTAAAAACATTTCTTGACATAAAGCATTTATTTCCCTTAACATCTGACATTAATTTTTTGGATTACTGTTTTCCAAATTTTTTATTTTCTATTAAGGCCTTATGTTCTTTAAGAGTTAAAAGTCATACCTTTCTTATCCTTTAAATTATTACCGCAATAATAACGAAGCAATAACATTTTTTTTTGTAAATACTTCAAAACATTGGGACTTGCTTTGCTATAGATAAAGGAATGGTACCTTTTTTATTCCTAACAATGACCACAGTGGTCGCAATTCAATTTATGAATATGATTTACTTAAAAACATACAGGATATTTCTTTCAATTTGGCCCAGGATTAACTTCAATATTTCCTGCCAAAAATAACACCATTAAAGCAAAAAGTACAAAAAATACAAGCAAAGATTGCATGCACAATCGAAATTTAGAGAATGACAAGCTTTTGCCAGCTCCATAAGATGCTTCAGTAGTTCAGTTACTGACATGATGACTGACAAAGCAGCTGATTGAAGCTCTGTATTGTTCAATACTAATCATAGCAAGAAATGAACTACAAACTGTTCCTTATCACTGAACAGAAATAATATACAGAAATTCGAGAAGTTCTAGTAATGTTAGTAACAAGGACAAAACATGAAGGACACAAATTTATTGAAGACAGTCAGGACTTCTTTCAGTTAAGAATAACTATAAGGTACAAGGTAAGTATGTCATAGTGTGGTGATATAGGTTTTCCAAAACTCACCACTAAGAGCAAATGACGTCAACTTTAATTAAGACAAATGAAACAAATGATACAAAAGAGAGGCTTTCACAATAGAACTCACAATTGAACAAAAATATACAATGATTTACTGAAGTCATTGAGTTGAAGAGATGCTTCTAAAGACTTCAGCCTAGTGTATAAGGCATGGCAGTGCAGAAAAATACTCTAGAAAAGAGTGTGAATAATAATAATAATAAAGCAATCAAGTTATGAATATACTGTGGAGATTTGAAAACAAAACCCAAGAAACTCACTAAAGCAAGACAAAGATGAGACATAATAAAAAATCCAAGGACTTAAAAACAAGAGGACGGTAAAGTACACAGCTAGATGTATAGCTGTAAGCATGGAAGGCGTGGCTGGAATAAAAGGTGTGGCTCAGGTCATATAAGCGTAGATATTAGAGTAAATAAAGGGATTGGAAGAGGGGGAAACTGAATGATGTTGCCATTAGTTACATGCCCATTGGCCTAATACACATCACCTCCAATAGTCTAGCAGGCCAGACCCATCTGGCAAGCAACACTACTCTGCCAATAGTGAGGCTGTTGTAAAAAGTTCAAAGGATATTTTTGGACATCCAGGAGGAGGCTTTCTTATGATATACAAACTCATGCTATGTGGATTATATCTGTAACTAGCATCTTTCCAAATGCAAATAAAAACTCTGTCTCATCATTATTAAGATCTTGTACTTTACATTAGCTTGTTTTCAAAACGGGATTGTAATGACAAAATTACATTATACGGTTTAAAAGGTGCCATAACATTAATAATGATCTGTACACTGGAAAACAGTATTGAGAGGAATCATTAGGCTTCTTGATGCATTAATTTCACTTGCATAGGCTTGTTTGCTACATATTGTTCTTGAATGAAAAAAAATCAAAGGTAAATTGTGACAAGAATTAAAAAGAGACTATTTCAGCCTGGTGTAACACAACAAAAGTGAAACAGTTTGTCATTGAATGATGTTTAGCTAGCTTGCTGCTGCAGCAACTGAATGTGCGGCTCAGCTCAATCAAAACATGTAACGCTCAGTATAGTAAAATGGTGCCATGTGGCGTTAATGAGGACAGAAAGCTTTAGTTTTTATACGCAACACACAGTTTTGCAAGGAGATGTTAAGCTCTCATTGTTTCATGTAATTCCTCCATTCAGTTTCGAGGCAGTAGCTACCTTCTCAGAGAGGAGCCGCTATGTTACAAAATGGCTGGTAAGTCACACTTAAGCTGTCATAACTCACGAACGAAGGAAAGCCAAGCAATTTGTCACATTCTTTGTTCTCCATGTTTTCCTTTACCTTTTGTTGCCTTCAAAGGTACCATAGCTTCGACTATGCAAATGTTACCTGCAATATTTTTCTGTTCTTAAATGCTGCCGACTTCTGCCAACCTTGGAAAAGAACAATTTATTATAAAAAAAGAATGACTTTTTCTGTTCCTAGTTGGCAAAAAAATGCTCTGAAGAGCATCACTAAAAAGTAGCATCAACCAAAAAATGATCCATGACTGAATTTTTTGTTAACACACACAGTGACAGCATGACCTCTCCTATACACATATGGCGTGTGTGATGGTAACAATTCGAACTACTCTACCTAGCCAACCCCAACACCATCTCTCTAGTTGGCCATACGCTATGTATCTGTACTTCCTAAAACAATTGTATGTTAGCATACAACAAGTAATGCTCAGTTATAGGCCTTACTTATTAATGTAAGTTCTTAGCCTTATATATTGTTCTCTATAGTGGTAGTAAGCAGCTTGCAAACCCAAAAATCTTAAGAAACACAGGTAAAACTAGGACGTTGAGTAATGCAGACACAGGTGGGACCTGAAGATGAAGTCATGTGCTCAATTTCAACAATTTCCTTAAAGCACAACACATTCAGCACCTACGCGTTACCTGGCATTTCAAAGACACCTAAAATTAACCAACTTTAAGTGAATACATTGTCACACACCATTAATCATCCATCAATCCTTTGAGATTCTCTTGATTGTGACAGTCAAGACAATCACGTAAGATTGATGGATGACTATCATCACTATCAACATAATCTGATTCTTCTGAAGTGCTAGGCTAAAACTTGAAGAGTAAAATGGGTTTCTAGTTATTGACATCACTGGTTTCATCTGAAACATCATGTCACGTGTGACAGATTTAGCTATGAGTTCACTTCCTTTGCTTTGTATGACATCACGCGAAACTACACTAGTTAACCTAAACTAATATGGCAGGAAGCAAAAGGGCAAGGTAAGAGCTCGAAGTCTCAGCCATAAAATTCTTTTGGCCAATAATATAAATTTATGGGGCAATTTCATGATATGACAATTCCATTTACACAATAATCAAGTTCTTCAAAAAATGAGGCAGTTACACTTAACGTAAGGTAAGGCCATATGTGAGCAAAATTGACAAAAAGTACCACATGGTATATTTTAATATTCATCATCTTAAGAAGAATATCAACCTGTGAGTGCTCTGTTGGACATCTTTTGTCTTTAAAAATTACAAACTAACTTTTTGCATCCTGTGGCATAAATTTATGATAAATGGAGCTCAGAAAGTTGGATTTATTTTGGCTATTAAGACAAATTTCACTACCTGCCATATGGTACCTTTTGTCTATTATGGTTCCATAATATATAAAGACAGGAAGTGCTGGCTAACTATAGGCACTGTTTACATGAAGTAATAGTCAATTTATTACATTATGTGAATGGTACTTATTGTTTTATCTAGCACTTCCTGTCTCAAAATGCCATTAAACTTTCTTAATTTTGCAGTATAAATCTAATTTTATTCCTGTTTGATGGCAATAATCTCCACAACACCTTTGCATATCATACAAACATTCAGACCAGCTAGAATACATG